GTACTCTTCTGATGTCCTTACTGTTCAGAGTACTGTAGACAACATCCGTGTTGCAAGCTAGGTTTAGGTTGCTGCAACGCGCTAGGTTGGTTTTCCACCTGGATGCCCGGAGCCGCCCCGTTTTGGTTAGGTGCTGTTAGCCCCTGTCCCTCCCTGTTCCCAGCTCCTGACCGTCTGCAGGTTTCGGGGTCGGGGCGGGGTTTAGTTGGGGCCAAGACTCGAGCGATTTTCGGGGGCTGCCCTGTTCGGGTTGGGGGACGGAGGTTTTTCGAGCCGGTTCCTTCTGCCAAGGCTTCTGGGGCTTACCAGCGGCCCTTTCTTGCTGCCTTTCCCATGGACTCTAGCTTTTCTTTAAGTGCGGAGGGCTTGGAGGACGGCTCTGCCCCGGGGCCTCTGTTGTTGGTTCCCGGGGCTGTGGGGGATGCCTGCTAGCAGTTCTGGGCGGTTTGCCCCTGCTGGGGTTTTCTGCTGTTGGGCAGCATTTTTCGCCCATCCAGTCTGCTTGCTTCCCACTTTTGCTGGTGTGTTTTTGTATCTTTAGCATCAGCCACGGCCCCTGCTGGCGGCCATTTTCGTCTGCCGGTTTCCCAGAGTGGCCACCAGGGCGGCGTTGTGGTTTGTTTACATGCGACTGGGTGTGCGAGTGAGGTTCTGGAGTGAGTTTTCACCTTTTTTCAGGGTTTTTTATTTTCCTGTTGTCGTTTCTTTGCTTTTCTGGTGTTTTCTGCCCGTTGCCTGTTCCTCTGGGAATGTTTGGGTGTTGATTTTACACCGGGTTTTCCATTTTGTCTGTTTTGGGTCTGAGCCTTTGGGTTTGGACTAGATGTCCCCTGGCTGGTATGCTTGCTCCCACACCTTGTCCCTCGGTTTTCGGTCTGTTATGACCGTTTTCCCAAGGGGTTCTGTCTGGGGGCTGTGCTTTGCCTCTCTGTGGTGTTCTCCGCCAGCAAATGTGGTGGTTTGGGCTCTCCCTGGTTCAATTCTGGGTTCCTTTGGGTTCTTTCGTTTCATTCCGGAGGTTTCCTCCTCTTGGGGCCCCCTTTGTGGGTTCAGGGGACTTTGTTTCCTCGTGTGACCCGGTTCTGCCTTCTGGGGTTCTGGGGTCTTCCTGGCTTGCAGGCTGATCTTTTTGGGTCTTGGCACATGTTGTGGTCGTGCTGGGATTTTGAGGTTTTGCTGTCGAGGTGGGCCTTTTGATGCAGTTTTGTGCCTTCTTTGCCTGGCCGGCGTGGTGCTCTCTGCCTGGCCCGTGGTGCTCTCTGCCTGGCCGGCACTCTCTGCCCACTGGTCGGCGACTGGTACTTTTCTTTTGCAATGTATGTATTCACCTAGTTGTGTTTCGTGGGTTGAGCTCTGGCTCTTTGGTCCCGCCTCTCAACCGTCAATCAACAGGTGTACAGTTTCCTGAGCCTATTGGGCTCTATCATATCTACACTTGAAACTGTGTACGGAGTCAGCCTCCACCACATCACTTCCTAATGCTTTCCATTTGTCAACCACTCTGACTCTAAAAAAGTTCTTTCTAATATCTCTAGATATTATGTGTGAGGTATGTGTGTGTGTACGCATGTACTTATGTACGCTGTGTGTGTGTGTGCACATGTGTATACGCACGTGTGTGTAACATATCTTGTGTGTTTGTGTATATGTATATGTGTATATACATAATGTGTATGTGTGTATTTTTTCTGTTGGAAGGGGTTCTGTTCCCTTCTCTGTTGATGGGGCGCTGGGGGAGCAGCTTGCTCTGTTGACTCTCGCATGGTCCTGCTGTTGGTGGGCGCTTTTGGTTGTCTTCCGGCCTTTGGTGGCGTCGGTAGACAGCTTCTCCCCCTTTGGGGGGTTTCAGAGCTGGCGGGGTGGGCTTCTTCCCCTGCGCTTCGTCGTGTCATCTTAGTGGGTGCATTGGACGTGGTCGATCCGTCCCATCCTTCTGGGGTTCCTGTCTACTCCTTGCAGTCATGGGCCTTTCGCAACTGCAGTTCTTCTGGACTTCTTCAGTCTGCGCCCTGGTTTCTATGCCCTCCTCGGTGGACTGTTGTGTCCTGTCCGGCTTCTGTTGGCGCCGGGTGCCTGGATGGTGGCCCTGGACCTCCAAATCACTTCTTGGCACGTTCCTCTCCAGTTTTCTGGGAATGGCTCAGTTGGTGGTGGGGCTTCAGGCTTGCTGCTTTTGTTGCCTTCCCTATTTTGTAATGGGCACTTGGTATATTTTTTTTTTTGCATCTTTACCGGATCTTAGTGCCCTGTCTGAGTCTGAGATTCGGTATCTGGCCTACCTCGACAACTGGCTGGTGTCGGCTCCCAGTCAGTCTACTTGTCTGCTCGCCAGGGGTGTGGTTCTTTCCAGATCGCCGGGTTTGGTTTCCTGGTGATCTGGAGACCATTCCATCTGTTTTCATCCCGGGTTCGGACCTGGGCCTTGTTTAGGGCTATTGGGCCACTCATTGTCTTTCCCTCCAGAAGTGTTACTGCAGCTGTGGTCCCACCTTCGGCTGTACATGAGGGGGTCCCGGGTTCCTCAGCGGTTGCTTGAGCAGTTGTGCGGGAGTTTGAACTTCGACATGCTGGTCTGCCTGCTGAGTCGGGTTTGGCTTCGGTGTCTGTTTGGTTCCTTCGGAGACAACCCCTTCCGCCTCTTGCATTCATTGGGTTCGTTCCTCCGGGGATCTTGTGTTGGTGCTGCGTCACCAGCTTCCTCTTTGGGGTTTTCGGGGTTCCATGCCTTGGCACCTCCCCGAGTCTTCGCTCGATGTGTTCAGGGACGGGTCATCTCTCGGCTGGGGCTTTGTGACTAGTTCTCGCCAGGTTGGCCGAGGTTGGTGGAGTCTGTCCGTCCGTTGAGCTCACAGCACGGTTCGGGAGTTCGTGGCTGTTTGGTTTGTGCTTCGGAGGGTTTGGGTCACTGGGTGCTCTACCATTCAGCTCTGTTCGGACGGTTCTCTGGCGGTTCTTCCCGGAACCACAGGGGTTTGGCTAACCATGAGGTTCATGTCCGGGGTGTGTCCTGCATCCTGGCGGACATCTGTCTCGGTTCATTCCTCTCTTCTCGGATTGGCCAGTTGTCGCCGACTCGTTTTGTTGGCTCTGTCGGACGTATGGACTTCTGGCCATGGACGTCTTCGAGTCGGCGTGGTCTAGGCGTCGCCTATTTTATGTGGCGCCCTTTCCCACCTGCGAGGCATTCATAGTGGATGATTTTCAGCAGGACTGGTCGAGGTGGGGGTACCTGTTCCTCTTCTCCCGGTCCAGCTGTTGCTTCGGGTTCTGGCTCGGTTGCAGCCCATTCCCACGAGAGCAGTCCTTATAGTTCCTTGGTGGCCGGCCCAGCCTTATTTTCAGACGCTGCTTGATAAGTGTTCGAACCCGGGGCGTTTTCCCATGGCTCCGCCTCTTTCGGCAGGTCGAATCGGTCCTGTACGTGGCTGGTTTTGCCTTCTCCTCGGCTCTTCACGTCTGGTATTTTGACGCAGGTATCACCATCTCTGTGGTGTTCAGGTGGCTTTGTTGACGGTGTCCCACCTGCGAGCTTCGTCTTGGCAACAGTATGACGTTTCGTACGCTTTCTCGTGTTTTGTTTCACCTCCGGCCTGCTCATGCGTCGCCTGAGCTGTCCTGGTATTTGATCAGGGTGCCTTCTTATCTTATAAGTTTGTGGTAGCCCCTTCGGTTCAGGTTTCTGCTCTTTAGTACTGGTGGTAGATTTGTACATGTGCAGCCTTTCTCCGTCCTAGCGACGGTCGAGACAGCTGCTTTCCGGAGGGGTTCTTGGGTTATTGATGCTTGATTGGTTTGGCCGGAGGTGCATCCTGTGTTGTCCGGTTGTGTTTTTTGCTGTTACCTGCGTACCGTGTCTGCGGATGCACTGTGGTTGATCCGGTTCCCCTCATTCCCTGTTTTCAGGGCTCGGATCTCCCAAGTCGTCCGCAGAGTTTTTCATTCTTCCAGCCTGCAGGCTGTCTTTGCACCCGTGCTGTTCAGACATTTGCAGCTTTTGCTGCTGTGTTGGCGACGTCTAGGGCTCATTTTGGGCACAGGGATTTGAGGGTCGCAAAGGTTCTTGGCCGCCCATTCTTATGCACGTCTTATCCTGTGCGTTCTTTGTGCCTTGGGGCGCACATTGCGACCTGTTGTCTCGGCTTTGCGTTACAGAGTTTGTGGCGGCCGCCTCCCGGGTTGGCCCTTTTTTCTTTTCCTTCTCTTTGGGTATGAAGCTCCAGGGAGCCGTAGGGGCTCCCCACAGAAAACCAGCGTTGAATGTAATAAAACGCCATTTTCTGGGTGAGCCCCGGAGGCTCCCTGGCAACCCTCCCTCCCACTGGTCGGCATTTTTTTCACGTTGGTTGAAGCTTAGCTTCTGAACTGAAGCTTGGCGGCCGGCGCGGTAGGTCCGGGGCTCCCCCCCTCCCCCTCTCAGGGCGGGGAGGGCTGCGCGGCAGTAAAGTGTGATGTTTGCTTGTTTGCTTGTTTTTTTTGTGATTGTAGGGAGTTTCTACCTCTCTGTTCGGTTTTTTGTTTTAGTTTTTTACCATGTGGGGTTTGTTTTGTTATGCCTACCTTTCTGGGTGCCTAACCCCAGTCGATGGCAGATAAGGAAAACCCCAACCACAAAGGGGTTTTCCAGGGCCATTGCTCCCTGAAACCTCTCTGAAGGGGCCCAGGTTCTGGCGCTGGTCCCTGGTAGGTCTGCACTCCTTAGCTAATGTCCCGGTCTAATATAACATACATTAGCCCAATAAGCTCCAGGGAGCCTCCGGGGCTCACCCAGAAAATGGTGTTTCATTACATTCAACGCTGGTTTTTAGATGAGAATCTTCATGATGTATAAATTATTGTAGTTGAGTTTATTACATACAAACTTAGTGTAATTATATTCTCATTAGGTTTTCCATTTGCATAACAAATGGAATTTTGAACAATTGAGGAAAATAACAGAACAAAAGCATTTGCAGTGTAATGCATTTGTTTTTTAAATTTATCCAAATGTTTCTTTATTTCAGGATGTGGGATATCTTGGTGATGTTGGTTACCAGTCACTTCTCTATCCAAATGAGACCGACTTGAGAAAGATATTTATGTTTCTGATTGAGAAACTACCAAAAGACACAGCTGCTGTTTCGGATGAACCTCTGAGTAAGAACATTACTGTACAATACTATTTAAAAAAAAAAAATCTGGGAGGACCCTTCAGTAGCTTTCCAAAGCTAATGCTAAAGTGTAGCCAAGCCTTTAAGAATTGCACCAAGCCTCTGAGACTCATACTGATCTACCTGGATTCAGGACCAGAATTTGGAGCTCTCTACAAGGCAAAACAAAACAGGCTACATTTAACTTAAATAAATCTTGAGGCAAACCTTTAATTGCAGTGGGTGAACAACCGTAGCCCTGATGTGTTCGACCACAACCAGATGTCCTAGCAAGCAGCCTACCTTACTCACCTGCTGTAGTCTCTGGTGTACCCATCTGCTGGGGCCTAAGAGCTGTTCCTTCATTCACTTAAGGGGCCATTGCTTTGTTTAATTCCATTCATGTTTTACGATTGTGTTTAATCCTATCCATATGGAGTGTTACAATATTATGTTTATTATTGTATTTTGCCTGAGATGTGAGCCAGGGTTACCTTTCCTGGTGATCAGCTTGTGTTTACCTTGCTCGACTAGGGATGCCTGCTCTGAGGATTTCAGACTTCAACTGACGACGCAGCATTGCGTCATGCCCGGACGAAAGTGTTAATGTATTCTCTTTTAACCACTGCTCTCTGCAGAGCACCTTGAGGCGCTGGATTGAGGGTGCGCAGAGTGCCACATGGCAATCATAGTTATATCGTAGGATTCAAAACTGCCACGCAGTGAATTTGGTACTAGATGGATGCCAGAGGCCTCCAGTGATTGTCCGCCATTTTGGAAAAAAAAATCCCAGCATGCCCCACGGCTGAGGGCAACCTCAGTTTCAAGGTAGCAACCATGTCTGATGCATCATCAACAAGCTCCCGGTCTACAGTCAGCCGATGTGTTGAAAAACGATTCTCGGATGCCGAAATACAGGACATGTTGTTTGATGAAGAACATATTAGTGACATCAAAGACTACAGTCCTGGTAAAGACCTAACACAGGCATCTGACACTAGTGATACAGACATTGAGGTGGATGATGTCGAGAGTATGAACAGTACACGCACCTTGCCTAGCCTGCCACGTCGCCCTAGGTCAACACCACTGGATTTACCATCACCATCTGTATCATCTTAGGTGAGTCTACTGAGTGATAGTATAGGTGATGAATCATTTTCTGTGTTTAGTGACATAGTTTCAGATACAAGCAGTGCTGATGAACCAAGTGCAAGTGGCTATGGTGTCACTGGGTGGGGATTTGCTGCCCCAGCAACACACCGAGGCATGCGCCAGTGTCACGTGGCCTGAGGACAAAGACGACAGTGAGCCTTCACCATCAGGTGTTGGTGGTAGGCCTATACAATGCAAAACAGCCTCATCTCCTGACATACGCAGTTCTAACACAAGACGACGGAGCAGTGTTGTTGAGGCCCATGCTGGTAATGCTCATGCTGGTGTAGGCCTTGGTGTTGGTGCCAAAACAAAAAAAACACGGGTGTACTTGTGTGGGAGAATTGTGACAATTTTGTCCCACAAATTTCAGCATTTGATAATACCAATGCTGATGTGATACCCTTATTTTCCTATACAGTACTGATGATGATATGGCTGAAATTAACTATTTTATGGCATATTTCGATCAGCCATTCATGGATCATCTCATTGCAAAGACGAACCAATACGCTTTGCAGCGCATTGCCTCTGGAATTTTTCCTGCCTTTCGAATGATACATTGGAAAGACATGACTATTGAGGAAATGTATGTGTTTTTACCATTGTGAATGATGGTGAGGTATGTAGAAAAACATGTGATCCAGGATTATTGGAACAAAGATAGCCTTGTTCCAACCCCCTTGTTCAACAGGTTCATGTCATGTAATAGGTTCCTGTTGCTTCTCAGGTGCCTGCACTTTGAGAACAATGAAAATGAAGACATACATGACAGACTGTGGAAAGTGCAGAAGATATTGAGTGAATTGAGAGGAAAGTTCATTGACTGTTTTGTACCAGCACAGAATGTCGTGATTGATGAATCGCTAGTTCTCTTCAATGGACGACTGACATTCAAGAAGTACATACCATCGAAGCGGCACAGGTTGCGACTAAAGTTCTTCGTGCAATGTGACTATAAAACTGGTAGAGTCATGTTATGATATTGTGTTGAGGTACAGACATTGTCATACCAGGTCAAGATCTACACGGGTTCTCAGGTAGTGTCATCTTGAGGTTATTTTGAGAAGATTTCGGGGCATTTTAGTGTCCCCGCGGCTCAGTCCTCGACCAGGCCTCCACCCCCAGGAAGCAGCTCATGACAGCTGACTAACACCCAGGTACCTATTTTACTGCTAGGTAACAGGGGCATAGGGTGAAAGAAACTCTGCCCATTGTTTCTCGCCGGCGCCCGGGATCGAACCCGGGACCACAGGATCACAAGTGCAGCGTGCTGTCCGCTTGGCCAACCGGCTCCGGTCATGGAAACACTCATGCAACCGTTGCTGAACAAGGGGCTTATCCTGTACACTGACAACTACCAGCCCCTTGTTGACCCGATTCCTCCTTGACCACAACACCAGCATATGTGGCACTGTCAAGACACACAGGAGGAAAATGCCAGTGTTTGGCATTGATATTGCAGTAGGTGAATGTCAGCTGAGAAAGTGTGATAAAATGTTATCCGTGCGCTGGAAGGACAGACGTGAGGTGAATATTAACTATTTACACCAGTGCAATGTTGGACAGTGGCAAAGTGAATTTTGCAGCAAGGGTGAAAATGTATAAACCTGAGTGTGTCATTAACTACAATGTAAATATGCGTTTAGTAGATAAATGTGACATGATGGTTGGTGCCGTCGAGTGTGTGTGAGAAAATCTCTGAAGTGAACCAAGAAACTGTTTTTCCACCTTGTTGAGATTACAGTGCTGAACTGTTTCAACAAGTATCTCATGAAATCTGCCAAGAGACCACCAATCTGTATATTCAGTGTTGCTCTAGTGTCGCAACTACCAGGGAAATATTGGGTGAAGGGCTGTGTTGTGGAGCGTGGGGTGCCAGCAACAAGGCCTCACACAGTTCCTGATAGACACAAGTGTAAAGAATATCTTGCTGTACACAAGCTTGGTTATATGCCAAACACAAACATGTGAAAAGAGTAAACGTTCCTGCGTTGTTTGCAAGAACACGCAATGTAAGTAACAGAAGCGGTGATCCATCTGCAATTGGTGTGTTGAGTGCAAAGTTTCCTTGTGTGCCATTGATTGCTTCAGTGACTATCACACACTCGCACAATACTAAGTGTGTTGATAGTGTAGTATATAGTCTGTGATAGTCTACAGTGTGTAAATAAGTTGTAAATGTAAATAATTGAACATGTAATATAGAAAATATGAACAATGTTTGTGGACACATTTGTGATACATGTAACACAGTTTCTTTGAACAGTACTGATGTTCTACTGCCTGAATATTGTAAACGTGTTCAATATACATAGGATTAGCCAGAAAAACAAAAGAAATGCATTTGTAATTGTGTAGAACAAATGAACATAAAAATATTTGTGGCAACTTGTGCTTGTTGAATACAGCGCGCGACTGCCTCTGTGAGTCTCCACCATGGGCGTCCACCAAGCCATGATATCACACCCCATTTTCTGGACACCCCTGTGGCCAAAGTAAGTATAATTGTGCAATATTTTCAACATATATGTGATCAAGGAAGGGCATTTAAGGCCACGCAATATAGTGGTTAATGGTGGGTTTGCATATCTTCCTTCTTCTGACAAATTTGGACTGTGTTTGTAATGATTTATTTGCAATGCTTTTGTAGTGTCTTGTGTGCCAGCTTGTTTGCATAATGTGCTGGGCAGGTAGTTTCTGTTATATGTGGAAGGTATGTTTACCTCATATTCTCTGTTCACTGGTACAGGTTCGTTTCCTCAGCTGATTCAGAACTGGATTCTGCCTGCTGGCAGCTTCACAGGTTGTGATTCTGCATTTTTGAGCTTTGTTGGTTCTTCCTGATTGAACTGACATCTCTGAACTCTTCAAAAACACGCACTAGGACTGGTCGAGGTGGAGGGTTTCTATACCTCTTCCCTTCCCAACCCCCAGCCCCCCCCCCAGCCCCCCCCCCCCGGTTTAGCTGTTGCTCCAGGTCCTAGCTCGCTTGGAGACTTACCAGGGGAGAGTAGTCCTTTTGGCCCCATGGTGGCCGGCCCAGCCTTGGTTTCAGGTGCTGCTTGCTTGGTGTCTGAACCCAGAGGTTTTCCAGCAGCTCCACCTCTTTCAGCAAATCGGTCTGGTCTGTTACGAGACTGGTTCGATCTTCTACTCGAGTCTTCGCGTTTGGTCTTTTTGACTCGAGTCAATCACCATCTGTATGGTGATAAGGTGGCTTCTTTGATGGGGTCCCAGCTGCAAGCTTCGTCTCAGCGGAAGTATGAAGTTTCCTGGTGGTCCTTCCGTTTCTTTTTGTCTCTTCGTCGCTGTACTTCACTTTCTGTTAAGGTTGTTTTGTCCTTTCTCTCATGGCTGTTTCAGGACCGTCATTTTATGCCAAATACTGTCACCTCATATCGTGCGGCGGTGGTGGAGCCGCTGCAGCTTGCTTTCTGTTTTCATGTTACTCCTGCACCATTTCGCAAGCTGTCTCGGGTGTTGTTTCACCTCCAGGTGGCTCATGTGCTACCTGAGCTGTCCTGGTCTTTGGACACAATGCTCTCTTATCTATCTTCACCTCAGTTTGTTGTAGTCCCTAAGTTTCATGCTTGTTTTTCTAAGGCTCTTTTTTTTTCTTGGTATTGGTCTCTGGGGGTCGGGTTGGGGAGCTTCTTGCTCTCCTCAGGCGCGAGGGTTTCTGCTCTTTGGTTGTTGTGATAGGTTTGTTCGTTTACAGCCGTCTCCTTTTTTTCTGGCGGAGAATGAGACTGCTGCTTTCCAAATTGGTCCTTGGGTTATTGATGCTTGGTTGGTCAGGCCGGGGGTGCATCATGTGTTGTGCCCGGTTGCGGCTCGCCGGCGATATTT